ACATACACACTCACACTCTGTAGCACTGCACCGTCCTCCCGTGTTCATCGATTTGCTTGAGTGGACCCAGTAAACGTCTCCATTGTGAGATTTGTTGTTACTGTGTTTGGCATATTGAATACGTCACGGGTAACTTGCCAGGCTCTGCCGTGCAGGCGAGATACTCTCGGTAGCTTGCTGGGCTCTCCAGGAGGGGCAGAGGAATCGAACCCAAGTCGGCTGCGTGCAAAGCAAACGCCCTACCTGCTGTGCTATGGCTCCAGACCACACACACTCACATACTCTTATATACACGCACTCATATACACACACACACATACACACACACTCACATACAAACACACTCACATACACACATATACACTCACACTCACAGTAGGCTTGTTTCCTGCCTCCCGCAGCATGAGTGCGGGAACTTCCTGCCCTTTGGGATTCTCGGGCTGAGCTCCTTGGGTGCCTTGCCTGGCTGGGGCTCTGCCATTGTCGGGCCCCATCTCTGGGCGTCGTGTCCCCACTTCCCTTACACGATGACACTAGGACGACACTGTCATGACCGCCTGGGGTCACTGAGATGCCAGCCAGGTCACTCCCCTATTTCTGCCTGTGGTGCTCGCCGGAGACCATCTTCCATGATCAAACCAAGTAACCACCAGACCCTACTCCACGGCATCGCCCCTTTTTCCCGTGCCTCATTTCATCAGCGCATGAATGCTCTGATTTCTCCACATCCTCCCCAAGCTCAATGTGCGAGGGTGAGGGGACCCCGGAAGGCTGTTGCGGGCCACTCAGCTGTCCCGAGACCCCTGGCAGCTCTGTCTGGCAGGGCTGGCTGGCTTCCGCTCTAAAAATAACACTCGGCTCTGAAGACAGAATATTAAAAATGACGCCGTCACCTTGACAGAGCAGCCACCGCCTGAGCGGGCAGGCCCCCATCCATCACGGCCGGGGCTGCTGCAGTTTGAGGAGATGGGAAAGTGGGGGTGGGACAGGACAGGACAGGGTGGGGCTGCAGCCCAGGGGTGCACCCCAGGGCACAGGGTTCCCTGCGCACACGCCGGCCCTTGGCGCCCCCCCAAACCAGAGTATGAAATCTAGCAGCCGACCTCTCAGAATTCAATTTGCAAGGTCAACCATGCAAGAACCCGGGTCTAATAGAATTGTCACATCTGTGGCGCGGCCGTTTATGCGGTGCCCGTGCTGGGCCCGAACAGGAAGGCAATTACGCGGTACAAACTCTGGTGAGGGCCACGGCTCCCGTTGGGGAGACGCCGCCGGATCAGGCGCCTTGAGTAAGGGGAAAGAAAAGGAGGAGGATCACAAACACACGCTCTGTGGCAACTTGCAAACTTCCATTTCCCTGTTAGTCACGTAGGAAGCCCTGGGCGCGGTGGGGGCACGGTGGGGGCTTCCTGAAAGCCCCGTTGTTTGGGGTATAAACAGCACCTTCAGGACGGCCCGCTCCAGCCCGGCCAGGGTGCCCAGCACCACACACAGAGCCGTGTCTGTTAAAACTTCAGGACACATGAAGCGATTCTCCTCCAAATCTAATTAGCGGCGGGAGCGCGCGGGAGGGTCGGGGTGGCGGATTCCCTGACATGGCTCAAGGCAGAGGCCAGAGAGCAGAGAGAACAGGGGGACGCCCTCTGCTCACAGTCAAGTGGGAGTTCGATTCCGGGCTCCCCACATGATCCCTAGGCCCCTGAGCACTGCGAGATGTCGCTCAAAAACAGACCCAAAAAATATTTTTTTAGGGGCTGGAGCAATAGCACAGCGGATAGGGCATTGACCTTGCACGCGGCCAACCCGGGTTCGATTCCAGCATCCCATATGGTCCCCTGTGCACCACCAGGGGTGATTCCTGAGTGCAGAGCCAGGAGTAACCCCTGTGCATCGCCGGGTGTGACCCAAAAAGCCAAAAATAAAATAAAATACATATTTTTTTTAATTCAGTAAAAATGAATCCGTCTAGCCAGAGAGGTGGGACAGAGTCAGGCAGACTCTCATTCCATCCCCACACTCGTACACGGGCCCCCTGAGCACCACTGGTTGAGCCCCTAAACAAGAACCAATCCAGACACCCAGAACTACAGCCCCCCAGGAAGGGTGACCGAGTGGGGGTGTCAGGTGGGCCTGAGGGGCGAAGGCAGCACCCTTGGTTCCCCAGGCAGGAGTGGAGAGAAGGCAGCACTAGAACTTTCCACCAACACTGGGACTTGCCATCACGTGGCTCCCCTGGGGGAACTCTGTGCCCGTGAGGGGCGAAGGATGATAGGGACCCGGGGGAGGAGGCCAATGCGGGCCACTCCGCCCCGCTCCCTCTGCTGTGCGCTGAGGCCCCGTGTCTCAGGCCGGCTCTACCTCACTCCTCTCCGTTACAGGTATGCCGAGCCCCGAGCCCAACCATGGTCACGAGTGCCAGGGACCCCCGCGGTCAGGGGGGTTGAGTGTCCTGGGTGAACTCACCGAGCACCCGCAGACGCGCAGCCCCTGCTGCTGTGGCAGATGCCAGCCACAGCACTAGCTGCGCAGGTCCATGGGGACACTGGGAGGGCGTGGACAGAGCTGCAGTGGGCACGTGGGGTGCGGCCATCACCCCTGCGGACAGGTCCTGGCTTCTGAGAGGCCATGAGCACCCAGTGAGGAGCACGGAAGCTGCCCGGAGGTCGCTGTGGTTGAAGCTTCTTGGGTCCTCCCACCCGCACCCAGGAATGCCCACGCGACCCTGACATATGGGCACAGGAAGGGGTGAGGTGGGAGACACGGGCATGAACACGGGGAAGCATTCAGCCCCGGCCCCCTGGGCCCCACCTGCCGGGAGCCACTTGGGTGAGTGTCAGGTCCAGACGGCAAACATACAGGAACTGGAGCCACAGCTGCCCTCTAGCTATCCGTGTTCGCCTGGAGGCCACGGCCACTGTACTCCAAGCTCTCCCGAGGGGCAGGGCACTGTCGTCCAGAAGGGTGCACCCCCTGGAGAGGCCAAGGACCAGCTGGGGCCTTTCCCGTGAGTCGCCCTTTCCCGGGAGGTTCAGAGTCCAGATGCGATTCTGTGCACGGACCCCCTGCTGACCCCATGGCCAGGGACCCCCAACCCAGAACCTGGCCTGAACTTGCCCCATCCCGCACCCACTGGGAAGTATGCTGGGATAGGTGTGTGTGGGAGGGGAGGGACACACACACACACACACACACACACACACACACACACACACACACACCGGGTCACATGACCCGGGAGAGCCAATCAGAACACAGTGCTTGTTCTGAGCCACACAGCCTTTTGCTGGACCTGGGCTGAGTCAGACTGAAGCCTGGGCCCCAGGCGGGTCTGTCCATGCGGTCACTTTCTCGTCAGAGCACTGTGTAGGGTGAGTCCTGCTCCCACACATGTGGGAATGGACTCGGGGAGGTAGAGGCCCCTGGGGGGGAGGACTGGCAGGTGTGACTGGCTCCGCACGCCCCCTTCTGCCAGCCCGACCGGCTCTGCTCTGTGTTATGCAATATCGGGGACAGGCCTCGGACGGGCCCCGGGACAGCCATGCAGAACCTGGAAGGTTCGCTGGAATCAAGAGTTAACTGGGGCCGGAGCGATAGCACAGTGGGTAGGGTGTTTGCTTTGCACGTGGCCGACCTGGGTTCGATCCCCGGCATCCCATATGGTCCCCCAAGCACCACCACGAGTAATTCCTGAGTGCAGAGCCAGGAATAACCCCTGAGCATCGCTGGGCGTGACCCAAAAAGCAAAAAAAAAAAAAAAAAAAAAAAGTTAACTGGGTATCATGACTGTGTGTGAGCCTCTGGTGCAGAGCGCGCTTGTCTGGTATGCAGCTGGCCCAGGTTTGGTCTGACACACCATATTGTCCTCCAGGCTGCCAAGAGTGATCTCCAAGCAGTGCCAGGTGTGACCCAAAAAGTGAAAATCAAAAGCAGAACCCAAGCTCTGAACCAGGACCCCCCACTGCCTTGAAACATTATGGGCTGCCTCGTACACACACACACACACACACACACACACACACACACACACACACACAGATCTCGTGCACTCAGCACATGCATACACACACCTCATGCACTCAGCACACGCACTCATGCGCACACACATTTAGTGCACTCAGCTCACATATGTCCTGTAAGTGCACACCTGCCTCCCGCTTCCAGCTGAGCCTGATTCTGTGACTCAGTGCAGGGGCCACGTGGCTCTCTCGATATCTGTGGGGTCCCTGAGGAAGCAGGCGGCCCCACACAGGTGTGCACAGTCCGTGTTTATTGCAGCAGCCCCTCCCAGCTCTCCCTGATTGCACGTCTGACAAAATACAAAACAAACGTAGGCAGATCCCGCTACCAATCTTGACAGAGTGGCGGGAGACGAGTCCTCGCCTCGGCTCATGGCAGGTGGGAGACACAGGCCATGTGCCCCGAAGCCTGGCAGTGCCTCCGGGGGGTCCCCTGAGTCCGGAGAGGGGAGCAGCAGTGCCCACGCAGCACCCCCCATCACCCACACCTCACAGTCAACACTCCAAGCCCTCCAGGTCCATGAGATGAAAAACCTGCCACTAAAGCAAGCCGGCTCCGAGCCGCAGGACAGCAGGAAGGCACTGGCCTTGCACATGGCCGACGCAGGTTCGACCCCCGGCATCCCATATTATGGTCCCCTGGGCACCGCCAGGAGTGATTCCTGAGTGCAGAGCCGGGAGCAACCCCTGAGCATCACCAAGTGTGACCCAAAACCAGCAAAATATATATAAATAAAAAATAAAGCAAGCCAGCCCGGCAGGTGGGGACGCAGGTCTGGGGGTGGCGCAGGGCTCCCCCAACACTGTGCCACCATGCACGGCAGACCGCAGGCTGCAGAGCACAGGGGGCTCACAGCCGGGGCCCAGCCTCGTGAGGAGGCCACTGGGGTGGGACCCACCTTTGCCCCTAACAGAGTCGAAGCAGCTGGGCAGAGGCAGGAGACCCACGCGGGAGCCCCGGCCCAGCACCGCCTCCCCGGAGTCACAGGTGCTTGGTGCTTGGCGGCTCAGAAGTCACGCAGCTCGGGGATGTCCCGGTACAGGTCGAGGCTCTCAGGGTTGGAGAAGGCGCCGCGCTGCTCCACGGCCTTGCCCGCAAGGACACGCTTCACCGCCACCTCCACCTTCTTGCCGTTGAGGGTGTACTGGGGGCGGGGGACACTGAGATTCAGACCCCCCTGCAACCAGCATGCAGTTGGGGGGGGGGTTGCAGAGGGAGCCCAGGGTCCCCAGGGTGGGTGACTTTGGGCAAAGTGACAGACGTGAGTCTCGAGGCTTGTGAGGTGGGCTGACACCTTCACTCCCTTCACTCTCCTCCTTGCCAACTGTGTGAGCACACGGGGCCACCCGGGCTGTGGGAGCACCCGTGGGGCCACCTCAGGGGGGTGCTTGGACCTGGGTCTCACAGTTGAGTCCCACAGCGCCCAGAGCACCAGGTCACGCCTGGCAGGCGGAGGGGAGTGGAAACTTCTAGAACGAGCCCCTTTGGAAAGCTGCAGCTGTCCTGATCTCGCCTCACTTTTCTTCTTTTTTTTTCGCCCTAAACCTGAGATGTAATTAAAATTCCCTCATTTGAAAAACTCCATCAACGTGTGAACTAATTAAGGAGCTGAGAGCTGCTTTCCAGGGCCGGCCTGTCAGCACCGTGTCACCGGGCCCCCAGCGCCCCGCCGCCTCCTCGGGCAAACCCTGTGGGAGGGGCGGACAGCCAACCAGAGGCCACAGAAAGCCTCCCCTCAGCGGGCCTCGCTGCAACCCAGCGGAGCCCAGGGACAAGTTCCTGCTCCCCAGAACCTTCCAGACGTGGTTAGAACTGAGGAGAGGAGAGTCCAAGGATCCAACTGGATGACAAACCAGCCAGGACTGGACCTGAATGCCCCGTACCACCCTTCTGCCCTCTCCTCTGCTCTGCATGCAAATATGCATGCACAGGGATGCACGTGTGTGTACATGTGAGCCCTCTCTACATCCACAGTGTAGAGACTGCGCACACGCACCTGCATGTGTGTGTTCCATGGACACAGACTCACATGCTCACACACACACTCACCACTAAGGCTCACACACGCAGCCTAACCATACACGCATTCAGACTCTCAAAATCACCGACAATCTCACATACATGTTGGCACGTGCTTAGACACGCTTATAGAGACACACTGACGTGTGCTCACTCTGTCTGGCACGCTGACATGTGTGCGCTCACATGCACACAGGCATGTCTCACGTGCGCTCTTAGGAACACACACATCACACGCATGCACACCATGTCCTCTCTGGCTGAGGCTCCAGCTGGGAGCGACGTGAGCCATGGCTGTGAGCCGACGGGTGTCGGTCTCATCCCCCTCAGAAGCAGAGTCCAAGGGGTGAGGCTACTGGAGGCGTCTCCGACAGGCGGACACCTTGTCCCCACGGGCAGAAGCTAAACAGCTGGGTGAGAGTAGCGGCAGGGGAGCGGGGTGGTGGGGACGTACCGGGATGCCCTGGGTCTCCAGGATGAGGCCAGGCACGTGGCGCGCGGACAGGCCCACACGAATGGCATCCCGGATGCGCTTCACCAGCTCAGGCCGGAAGGAGTGGCCTGCAGCCATCTTCAGGAAGAGGACCACCCTCTCCTCGCCATCCTTGTTGTACTGGGGGACACACAGGCTGTCCATCACCTCCTCGAAGGCTTCCACTGTGGAGAGAGCCCAGACCACACTTGCTCTCGGCTGCCCTGTGGGCCCGGCACAGGCCAGAGCTGGTGAGGGGTTGGAGGAAGTCGCGGGAGGAGCAGAAGGGGGTCACCCCGCTCAGCTGTGGCTCTGGGCTCCGATGGGGGGCGCTCGCACGATGAAATGCATGATGCTTGTGTTTCTCCCCATAACAGGCACGGCTGGTGGCCGACAGCCTCTGAGCCGCGGTGGGACAGAGCTGGGGACTGACCGCGGGCTGCCTAGTCCCCGGGTGTGTGTGTGGGCGGGGGGGGGGGTGCAGCATACCGATATTGTAGATCTCCGAGCTACCGAAGCGCACGCCGTTGGGGTTCAGGGTGCCGTCACTGCGGGGAGAAGGGAGGGCCAGGTCGCACCAGCACGCGCGTGTGCCCCCCATCTCTGGCCCCGGGGAAGCCGGGCAGGTGCCCTACCTCCGGCCCAGCATGACAATGCCCCCAGTCTGGGGGTTGATCCTGCAGTAGTCGCCGTGCGCCCACACACCTGTGGGAGAGGGCAGACGAGAGCCGTCACCTGGGCTGGCTGAACCAAGGGCCCCGAGGAAGGGCAGCGGGCGCAGGCGACTGAGGGGCCTCTAGGGAAATGCTCAGACCATCCCTCGCCTGGCCTGGCCCATCAGAGCGTGGCCTCTTCTGTCCCACGAGCGTCCTGCAGGGCCCACGGTGCCCACTCCTGCCTCAGCCACCCCTCCAGAGCGCTCGAATTCTCCTTAAGGTGTTGGTCACTTGTTTCTGGGCCACACCTGGTGGTGTGCAGGGCTGACTCCTGGCTCGGTGATCAGGGCTCACTCCTGCTGGGCTCGAAAGGCTGTGGGATGCCGGGGATTGAACCCAGGATGGTCACATGCAAGGCAAGAGCCCTGACCACTGTGCTCTCTCTGGCCCCTTTGCTACGTTTTTACTTATTTATTTTTTTTTTAATTTTTAAATTTTTATTAGTGAGACACCATGAGGTACAGTTGTAGGCTTACAAATTTTTGTGCTTGGGTTTCAGTTATACAATGATTAAATGCCCATCCCTCCATCACTGCCCATTTCCCACCACCACGGATCCCAGTATCCCTCCCACCCCCCATTCCCCCCATCCCACCCTGCCTCTGTGGCAGGGCATTCCCCTCTGTTCTCTCTCTCCTTTTGGGTGTTGTGGTTTGCAAAAGAGGCATTGAGTGGCTATCATGTTCGGTCTGTAGTCTACTCTCAGCATGCTTCTCCCATCCTAGGAGGATCCTCCCAACACCCTTTATTTGGTGCTCCCTTCTCTGAGCTCCCTTTTCCCCTAGCATGTGTGGCTGGCCTCCCAGCCATGGTTTGCTACGTTTTTAACATCATAAAGAGCCACAGGACAATCAAAGCAGCTCAGACCTCCACTAAACTCCCACTGCACATTCATCCTCACATCTTTATACGTATTTACTCGTATATACGCACGTATTTCCTTCCAACCCTTCACACAAATGGTTCTCTCCCTTCACATAAATTCTTGTTTTCCCCAAATCACACGCGCCCCCTCCCCCGACCCCCAACAGCCGGAACCTCGTGTGCAGCGATAGGGCGGGGCGGGCGGCTTCGGGATGTCCCTCCTGCCCACAGCTGGAGGCTCTGCTGGAGGCCCCTCAGTGCCCACTGCCCCCCAGCCACCACCCCCGCCCAGCCCCCAGCCTGTGGCGGCGGCACCAGCGCACCTGGGAACCTGGAGAAGTAGGCCTTCCGGTACTTGCTGCCGTTCTCATCGTTCCAGAAGTGGGTGGGCTGGCAGGGCAACGGCTTGGTGCACACCAGCTCCCCACTCTCGCCCCACACCGCCTTCCCTGGGCAGAGAGCAGGCCCGGGTGAGTCCCCGCCCCATGAAGCTGCCCCCACACAGCCCACTGGGCCCCGTCCCCCAGCTCCCACACTTCCGGTCTGCTGACCCGCCCGCCCACTGGGGTCCCACTCCCCCACCCCATCACTCATGTCTCAGGCTCACATGTGGGCCTGGGTAGGTATCCACTGACCAGTGAGTGCCCCAGGTGGGAGCCGGCCTGGCCTGACCATGGGGCTGTGTGTATCACTGCTGGCCTCCACGGGCTGTCCCCAGGGTCTCCCTCCCAAGCTCTGTGGCTGGGGGCCAGGCCTCCCTCTGGAATGCGACCTCTCCTCACTCCCTACCCTCAGGATCCCGGGAAGAGCCGCCCACACTGCGCCCAGGAAGCCCCGGGGCTGCTGGAAGGGGACCATGGGGGGGATGGGAAGGACACTCGGGGCCAGCCTGGCTCTGCTACAGACAAACAGGCACGCCTGCACCCATGGCTGGCCCGGGAGTCACTGACCCGCCCCAGGGGCCAGCCAGAGAACGTGGGCCCCGCAGCGGTGGGGGCAACGCAGGAGGAAGCCACTCACCATCCTCGTCCCAGGCCTCCACGGCCATGCCCAGGTTCCGGGCCTGGATCTCGCCCTTGTACACGGGGACGGACGTGTTTTGGCCCATGAAGCAGGAGATGATGTCGGTGCCGCCTGCAGACGGGAGATGGCTCAGCCAAGGGTCCCGGCAAGTGCTCACAGCTGCGCTGTCTCCCTGCTGCGGGCTGGGTGGGGGCTGAGTCCTCCAGCCCGGAGAGGACCAGTGACTGCCCAGCTTCGCTTCCCTGCATGGCTCCAACCTGAGCCCGAGGCCCCTGGTGGATGCATGAGGCCAACTGCGCTCAAGCGACTCAGGAAGGGAAGACTGGACTTCGGGCTGCTGCCCGCGGTGGGCAGGACCCAGCACAGTCCCTGGACAACCTGTGAGCATGTGGGTGTGCCATGCACATAAATGCACATACACACGCATTCCTGTGTGCACAAATGTGCACACACCTGTGTGTGTACACATCCAAATGCATGTGTGCATGCACACATGTGACCACACACATGTGGACACAGGCATGCCTGTGTGTACACATGTGCACGCATAGCTGCAACGTGTGCAACATGTACATGCATGTGTTTGTGCATATGTGCACACACCCACACGTGAGGGCGCATAGCTTGCACCCTCCTGGACAGGCTGGTGAATGCTGCTCAGCACCTTCTGGAACATTCCCCCTGGAGAGGGAGGCAGGGCGCACCTGAGATGGAGGCCAGCAGCACACTGCTCTTGATGCACCTGTACACGTACTCGTAGCTCTGGGCCTTCAGCGGGGAGCCCGTGGACAGGATGGTGTGGAGCGTCTGCAGGCTGTGCGTCTCCACTAGGGTGAAACAGAGAGAACTGACAGCCAAGGCCGACGGGCACACAGGCAGGCGGGCAGGGCAGGGCAGGGCAGGGCAGGGCAGGCATTCTGGGGGACACTTACTGGGCTTCAGGTCCTTCTCCTCCAGCACCGACAGCCACTTGGCACCCGTCCCGAGGATGGTGATGCTACAAGGGAACGCCAAGAGCTCCTGTGGGCGCTGGGGCACGGCGCCCCCAGCTCCCTACAGGGGTGCACTGGCCCGGACACCCCACTTTTCTGGCAGATGTTCACACAAGAGGGTGTTCTGGCTCCTGCCACACAGCCTGTACAAGACCCACCAGCACCAGATTTTCTCCCGGGGCTGCACGGGGATACCCTCTGATATCACCTTGCATTGGCAGTTGGGAGCTGTCCTCCCGCCCCTGCGCTGTCTCCCTCCAGCTGCCCATCTGCAGGTCGTTCCAGAGCTCTGACCTGGAGAGCAATGCCTCTCCCTTCCTGTGGGGGGCCCAGGGCTCTGCAAGGGCCCCTTGCAACCTCCCCAGGGCCATCACCCGCAAGCTCCAGGCCCTAGATCCAGTGACAAACACTCCCTACCCTTGCACACATGCACACTCACGTGTGCAAACACCTGCACATCTCCCACATGCACGAACATCCGCACACAGGCACACACGTGTACACAGATGCACGCCCACACGCACGCGTGCGCACACATGCATGCACACGCACACTTGCACACTGGCTCCGCCCAGGTCTGGCACATTCCAGGCGGAGATGGCGAGGGAGCAATGGTCCCAGGGATCCAATCACCCTTTCATGGCGACCACCTCATTAGGGTGAAGTTTCCTCACTAGCATTTGAGCCAAATGTCAGGATTTAAATATTTAAATATTTCCAGGCTGGGGGTTATATTTAAAGTATTAGCAGCCAGGGAGTTAAGGCCGTTAGTAGCCGTGGCTGACCATTGTGGGAGCGGGGACCCCAGAAGCCTGGGGCACATGTGAGATGAACCCTCAGCACACGGTGGTTCCAATCAAAGGAGACTGCCTGGGCCAGGACAGACGGGGCTCCACTCACTGGACTCCAGGGGAGAAAGTTCTGGAGAACAGACTTCTGCCCCACAACCTGCGGCCACACAGCACCCGCAGGTCCCAGCCAGGCCTCAGGTCCAGCACCTGCTCTTGGGGCCCCCGTCACCCAGGATGATTCAGGAAATGGACCCCCCCCACAGGACGCCACAAAGCGGGGCCCCTCCCAGGTCTGGGGTGTGGGACAGCCGAGGGGCGCACACCTACCCTATCCTGTCCACCAGGTCCCACAGCACGTTGGGCGTGGGCACCAGCGGGGAGCCATCATACAGTACCAGGGCGGCACCGGTGGCGAGTGCCGACACCATCCAGTTCCACATCATCCAGCCCACCTGCAGGAAGAGGGGACAGAGTTGGGGTGGAGCACGGGTGCAGCTGAAGTGCCCCACCCCCACCTGCAGGCAGAGGGGACAGTGTTGGGACAGGGCACTGGGCAGCTTCAGACCCCCCCGAGTGGCTGAGACAGGCCTGGTGAGGGGCCGGCCGGGCTCTGCAAGGGTCCCTGCTGCTGCCCTCAGGGTCCCCAGGGTGCTCCAAGGACCAGTTGGCCATGGCATGTGCTTCCTGCTGCCACAGTGACCAGTGGTGCAGACACAGCGACCAGCCCAGTGTCGAGTCCACAGCCACAACTTGTGGTAGGTGCCAGGGGCTATGCCCTGACCGTGGTCTGACCTGCGGGGACAACGGTCTCCCTTTCCATCCCCCCAAAGTCCACGCACCGTGGTGTAGTAGAGCAGAATGTCCCCGCTGCCCATGTTCCCATGCAGGACATGCTCCTTCAGGTGCTGGATCAGGGTGCCCTGGGGAGATAAGCCCGAGTAAAGATGGTTCTGGCCACAGCTCTGGGCAGGGACCCCTAGAGACGGTGGTCCCCATTCAGCAGAGCTCTCCCTGCTGCACCCCACTCCCACCCCAGGCAGATGGCGGGCGACGGGCACACACCCTTCAGAGGCCCCCAAGGTCAGTGCCGCTTCACCAGCACGGCCCCGCCCCGCGCTTCCTGCCCCTCCGGGGGCACAGATACCCCACCCAGGGCCCCGGCTTCCCTCCTGGTCCCTCCCAAGGGAAGCGTCTGTCGGGATTCCAAGCAACCCCCCAACCAACGCATCTCCCGAGAAAGGCCCCCGGAGGCTAGAGGCACGAACGCTCAGGGCCAAGGACGGGTCAGTCTCCCTCCAGGGACTCGGGGCTGCCTTCCCAAAAAGAAAGTTCAGGAAAGGCTTGTGGCTGCCTCAGCCTAGGCCCCAGAGCATCCTGCAGCCCCTGGTCCCGGCAGCAACAGCAAACGAGCCCATCAGAGCTGGGGGTCCGAGGCCAGGGCTGGTCCTGGGCTGGCATGCAGGACACTGTGCAGGAACCCGGGTTCAATCCCTGCCCCCACCTGCGCCCAGAGCACCAGTGGGAGAGAGGCCGGCAGCCTGCAGGGGCCGCTGACTTCCGCCAGATGTGAGCAGATGCTGGAAGCGCCCAGCTGAGGCTCCCAGCTATGCTTCTCAACCTAGGGCCCAGGTCACCACACCTCAGGCTGGACGCTAACACTTCCCCGTGATGGATCCTTTTTGTTCTGTTTTGCTTTTTTTTGTTTTATTTTTGGGTAACACCCAGCGATGCACAAGGGTTTCTCCTGGCTCTGCACTCAGGAATCACTCCTGGCGGTGCTCAGGGGACCATACGGGAAGAAGCCGGGGGAATCAAACCCAGGTGGGCCGTGTGCAAGGCAAACGCCCTCCCTGCCGTGCTAGCACTCCGGCCCCCCGTGATGGATTCCTGTGGGGCAGACTTAGGCTCGATGAAATACACAGCGCGCAGGCCGGGCCTACCTACCCCCGCCGAGTGCACCATGCACTTGGGCGCGCCCGTCGTGCCCGATGAGAACATGATGAAGAGCGGGTGGCTGAAGGGCAACTGCTCGAACTCCAGCTGCGGGCTCTGCTCGCCCGCCCTGGTGGCCAGGAACTCGTCCAGGAAGACGCTGAGGGCAGAGGCAGAGTGAGGCGGCGGGCAGCGGAGCGAGCCCACCCGAGGCCCAGCAGGAGCGCGGCCACCACGCCCAGGCACTGGGCACTGCGGGATGCAAGCCCGGCAGCAGGAGGACGCAGGGCGGTCACAGCACAGGGCAGTGGCCAGCCACTTTCCGGCGCTGCCCTGGCAGGTGGGCACTGCCCTGTGTGCCCTCCCGTGCCAGGCCCTCACGGACATGGCTCCAGGCGGGCCCTCCAGGAACAGGGCAATGAGGCTCGGCTCTGCTCTCGGCTCCTGAACGCGGGCCCAGGGCGAGACCCCACCCACGACACACCAAGGCTCCCGGTGCCCGCGCAAACACACTGAGGTGCCCATAGCCTGCTGGGGCCCAGGCCCCTCTGCCCACCGAAAGCAGCGCCAGGCAGCCCGGGTGCCCGGGACGTACCTACTGGGGATGCTGGAGATGTCGATCTTCTCCCGGGGGCTGACGTAGGGGATGACCACCACCTTCTTCAAGTCTGGAAGACCTGGGCAGCAGAGTGGCAGCTAGCAGGAGGCCGCAGATGGGGCAGGGGTCCCAGGCAGGGCGAGGATCCCAAGCAGGATGGGGTCCCGAGCTGGGGCGGTGGTCCCGGGCGAGGCGGACACCCACCTTTGACCACCCGCTGCAGCTTGTCCAGGTGGCTGTGCTCGCGGCCATTGTACACGACGGCTTCCACGGAGAAGATAAGCTTGGGCTGGATCTGCGAGAACCGGTCCAGGACGCCCTGATGGGGAGGGAAGAGCCATCGTGGGTTCCACAAAGGGCAAAGCTCAGTGGCCAGCATAACCCCGACTTCCAAGGGCAAAAACAAGCAGCGCTGTGGACGCCTCCCATACCTGGCCCAGCGCCACCCACAGTCCACCTGCACACGTGGGCAGGGGCAGCCGAGCTCAGGCGCCCTGTCACTGGCCAGCTGGGCTCAGGGCCGGCCCCTCTCCTGGTGCTGCCCCAGGGATGAGCTGGTCACCTGTCTGTCCCAAAAGAGCTGAGCACAGGATGTCTCTCTCTCTCTCTCTCACACACACACACACACACACATGCACACACACACATACACACATGCACACACGCATGCACAGAACCCCCTAAAGGGGCAGGGTTGCTCCCTCTTGGCGACTTGGTGGCTGTCATCCTCCAGAGGCCATTGGACAGTCAGGCTTGGGCCTGCAGTGACGAAACTTGTTGGGTCTCACGGGATGGGGGGGAGGTGGAGCCGGGCCTGTCTTCCCCACCCCAATGAGACCCCAAGTCATCCCCCACGAATGGTCTCTTTGGCTCCTCATCAAGCTGCTCAACTGAGGTGCTGAAGTGCCCATAGCCTGCCGGGGCCCAGGCCATGATCCCAGAGACTCAGGAGCAGATCTCTAAACCCAGTGGCTTTTGGCAGAAATCCCTCCAGATTTAAGTGTTAAAATTTCAGAATTTCAAAACCACATGGCCCTACTGCAGCCACACGACATCATATGTTATTCATAACCAGCAATAGAACACAAATTGTCTATTGTTGCCTTTTCAGCAGATCTGAGTGTTGGGGTAAAATCTTAAATAATGGTGGGTCTGGTGTCGAAATAGTGAATGTGATCAAAGTAGAGAGAGAGTAATGTAGAAATCATCTGCCCCACAGGCAGGGGGAGGGTGTGGGATGGGGGTATACTGGGATTTTTGGTGGTGGAGAATGGGCACTGGTGAAGGTACGGGTGTTTCATTGTATGACTGAGACTTAGACCCAAAAGCTTTGTAACTGCTCTCACGGTGATTCAATAAATAAAATTATAAAAAATGGAAAAAGAAAAAAAAAGTAAGGTGGAGTTCATGCACAATTTAATCAGCTAATCAGTGGCTGAATAAATAGCAGTACTCCTACAAAAAAAGAAAAAAATAAATAAATAAAGGGGCAGGGTCTCACACCTGAAGGCCAGTCCCTCACTCCCCAGCATCCTCAGAAAAGTGCTAATTCCAAGGCAAACAGTTGAGTCCAGACAAACTGGGGCTGAGGCCGATCCTGGGGAGGCCCAGTGCCCAGCTGGCACTGCCCACAGCAAGCAGGGTCCAGAGCTCAGGGCCTGGAGGGGCCAGGATGCTGCGGTCAGGCCCCTGCCAATACCTGCACCTGGCGGGGCAGCGCTGCAGGGGGCAGAGGGGACCAGACAGACAGACCAACACCACCATGACGTCCATGGCCAAGGAGACCACATGCAAGAGTCACCCCCGCCTGGCTATGTGCCTAGGCGACCCTCACAGGTGGGCCAGCAGGGTCACGCTGCCAGTCACAGCTGCAAATGCCCTCTCTGGCCGGCCTGACCCACACACGAGGCCCAGAGCAGCCAGAGAAGGAAGCACAGGAAACCACACGACCCACCAAGCCCGGAGTTGTGAGCAGCACCTGGAGAGCGTCCCTGGGCTGGGTGGGCGGCAACGTTCAGGCCAACCCAGACACTGGCCTCGAGAGCAGACAGCCAGCGGCACCGTGTCTCGGGGGAAGTGCCTGTCCCCATGCACAGACCTGAACCTGAACCCTGGCACCACACAGACAGGATACACAGGGATACATACAGGCATGCAGACACGCAGACACACATAGAGCCCCTCTGAGCCCATCTGAGCCGCCCCAGGTGCTGCTGCTGCTACAGGAGGATGGGGGAGGGAGTGCGGGGGGGGGGGGGGGGCAGGCCCCTGGTGCCCCCTGCACAAGGCAGCAGGTGTGAGGCCTGGCCTCGGCTGTCGCACCCCAACCCTCTCCTCGCTCACTCCCTGTGCCTGCGTGTGGTGCTGCTGCCCCCTAGTGGGCGGCCCAGAGCCAGCCGCCAGGCCCAAGTTCTTGCCCCTGACCTGGGCCCTTGCTACCCGACAGCGGACACGGGCACCTGGGTGCGGACAGAGCTCCCAGCCCCACCAGCACCCCAGACACCCCAAAATCCTACGCAGGCTCTCGAGGGGCCCCACTGCACCATCCCACAGAGATCCTCACTCTCCCAGAGACCCCCTCCTCCCGCAAAGACCCCAATAACACCCCTGCGGGCGCCCAACTCACATTCACTCCGAAGTCGGGGGACGTGGAGCTCCAGATGGCCCCAATGCTCGCTGCGGCCAGCATGGCCTCCACGGCGTGCGCGCTGTTGGGCAGATAACCTGCGGATGGGCAGAACCCGCTAGCACCACTCCCTGTGGCCCGGCCTCAGGGCCTTTGCACCTCCACACGCGGCACGAATACCACACGTGTGTATACGCATGCACACACACTCAGCAGGGACCCCGTGGCCCCACAGGACGAGATGCTAACCCCAGTCCATCAGAGGCCCTTCTCGGCCCTGCCATCTGGCAAGCGTGCCTCCCGCCCAGCTGTGCTTGCCCAGGGCAGCCGCGTGGCCAGCCAGTGGACACGCCACCCTCCGCAAACACAGCACCACCCACAGGTCACGCAGCCCGGCTCCTGGAGAGCACCTCCATCAGCCAGGCCCCCGCACCCCCTTCCCAAGGCCTGTCAGGGCACAGAGCGGATGCCCAGCCCATGGGCCGTGGACGGGGCTGCTCACAAGGCTCCGGGTCTCTGAGCACAGCCCTGCCCCGGCCCCGCACTGCAGGAACTGGGGCGCAGCGAGGGCACCAGCAGACCACACAGCTCAGGAGCAGGGGACTGGGAGCCCCGTGCTTGTCACGTCACACTGGCGTCCACGGTCCCAGGCCGAGCAACAGCAAACAGTGAGTTCCAGCAGGATCTGTGCTCGGGCCTGCGGGTGGCTTTGGAAACGGACCCGCGTCCACTTAGATCAGACGGTGGTCACTCCGCTCTCGTGGCACGGCCGGGCCTCTCGCCAGGGGACCCCACTCTGTGGAGGGGGCTACAGGCACAAGCGACCCTGGAGCTGCCCGAGCTCCTCCTGCCCCGGCCCCTGGGGCCCCTCCTGAGCCTGGGAGCCCCCAAGGCCCGCAGTGTCCCCACTGCTGTTGGGGGCCAGAGCTAGTAGAGAGGGGAGGGCGCTGGCCTGGCCTGCTGCTGACTTGGGTCCCATCACGACACCCCAGATGGTCCTGAGTCCTGCCAGGAGTCAGCGCTGAGCACCGTTGGGTGCGGCCTCCCCCAGAATCAATCAAATGAAGTCGTAATCGCAGCCTCCACATCCAAGACAGGGCTGGCACCGGCCCAGGGTCTCCTGCCACAGGTCCCGTGGGGGCGATCACGCTCCCAGGCACTGCACAGTCCGGTGGCAGCAGCCGTAGGGCCCCTGTGGGCGCCGGTGTCTACACAAAGCAAGGGACCCCAGCCCAGCGCTTCAGGTTGTCCTGAAGGGGGCACGGCCACACCAGTGTGGGACCCCGCCCCAACCCTTAAGGTGGTCTCCTCCCACACACAGACGCACAGTGAGCATATATGTACGAACACATGTGCACACATGGACACACAGACATGTGTGAGGACACACCTGAGCACACACACACATGCACACATGACACGTGTGCACATGGACACACAGACATACATGTGAGAACACACCTGAGCATACACACATGCACACATGTGCACACATGGACACACATGAGCAGACACATGCACACACGACATGTGCGCACATGGACACACAGACATACATGTGAATACACACCTGAGCATATATACATGCACATACGACACATGTGTGCACATGGACACACACGAGAACACACATGAGCAGACACATGCACACACGTGAGCACACAGGCACGTGCCCGGCCCCCCCCGCCCAGAGCCCAGGCCACTCACCGACCACCCGGTCCCCTTTCTTCACCCCCATCTTCCTCATGGCCGCTGCAAACAGAGCCACCTGCCGCCGAAGCTCCTGGAACGTCACCTTCTCGATCTCCTCCTTGCCCTCCCCTGGAAGAGAAGGACGCTGAGCCGGGTCCGGGAGGCTGTGGACCCCCCCGGGGTCTGCTGAGGGCAGAGGCCTCAGCTGGGCAGCCTTGGAAGGACACCACCACTCTGTCCCCCCGGGCCCCGGGTCACTCCCACCCTCCTGGGCCGGCCCGGAATGAGGCCTGTACTGCCCTCAGCACACAGCGGAAACTGAGGCCAGGGATGGGGTCAGTGCCCAGCTCTGCACCTCTGCCAGGCCAAGAGAGCCGCGTCACTGCCGGGAGCGGCCCCCGGGCCCCTGAGCACTGCTTGGGAGCCCAGAACAAACAGAAAACAGACACGGAAACACACAATGAGGCCAGCACAAGGGAGACGCTGTGGGCAGAGGACGGCACGGCAGCTCCCCAGGGACCAGGACAAGCCCTGAGCCGCGCCCAGGGCACCGCATGTCCACATGGCCCCCAGGACGGATCCTCACTCAGGACACTGCCCCGTGCCTGCCAACAGTGCCCACGCCCAGAGGTGAGCTCATCCCACTGTGAGCAGAGCGTCAGGGGCAGGTCAGAGGCAAAAACGACCCGATTCACATCCTGCAGACCCAGGAAGCCGGTCTCAGGTGCCTGCCACGAGGTCACGTCCCAGCCCATGTTTGACACAGACACTTAGTTCCCGGTTACGACCAGCTTTAACGCCGTCACGGTCTCTCATCTGCGGGTCAGGGCCACACCTGGCGGGGCTCAGGATAGCTCCTGGCAGGGCTCAGGGACCCCGTGGAGTGCGGGGGGTGAACCGGGAAGCACCAGGGAAGCGCCTTCCCGGGGCCTCTCTTCCCCGTGTGGGGCAGGCCCGGCCCCCCACGACCCCCTCGCATCCTGGGGGCCTTTCACAGCTTCTCGCGGCTCCCCACCTCGAAAGACACTGTCCTAAGAAAATACTCAGGAATGGCCCCCTGCCAACGCACACACTGCTGACATGCGGATGCCGAGTCCCATGGTGATAAGACCGGGGCCCCCAGGAGCGTCTGCTCTGCTCACCCAAGGTGACAGAGAGAACGGGGGGGTGGGAGGGGACACGGACGGCCAGAGAGGACCCCCCCCTCCTCTCTCAGGTCCCAAGTCGCAAACCAGGACTGAGGGTCCCGCCCCAAGCGCCATGGGCACTGCCAGCTTGGGAAGGAGTGGCCGAGCGAAGGGCCCGAGCGTTTCCAAGGGAGGGTGAGAGGCAGGGCGGGGCAGGTCGCGAGACGGGCAGGCCACATGTCCTGCTGTGCAGGTCGGGATCCTGTTCCCTCTGCACTCTAGTTAGTCCCTTGGGATGACCGAGACGCGTGGGCTGTGACCCACGTGCCTCCCAGGAATGCTGGCGGTCACCGCGGGGGACAGGGGTCACCTCTACGGGACAATGTGGGCACCATGACCGCCAGGCTGGGGTGGCCTCAGGCACAGGGCCCTGACAGCGGCGTCAGCAGCAGGCTGGGGAGGGCTCCCTTCCTTCCCGGTGACAGTGACAGAACATCCTGGAACTAAGGGTGGGCACGTGGGGGCAGGGCTCCCCTGTCCCACCTTCTGCCCTTCTCCTGCCAGGCTGCCCCACGTCCTGCCCGCCTGCAGCTCAGGGTCAGTGAGGGGGACGGCCCCAGCCCGCATCACCCTCATCTGATCAGCTCTGCTCGGACCCTGGCCCGCCAAAGGGGCTCCAGCACCCCCAGTGCCCCCGCCCCACTGCACCTCTTTGGACAAGCTCCACTGTGACAGCAGCCATGACAGCGGGGGACAGTAGTGACAGAGGCAGTGACCACGCTTGCTGTGGCCGTGTCTCAACCTCCACTGACCAGCACGGTCACTACAGGCCCCCCACCTACAGGAGCACAGGGACCCCGAGCTGGGGAGACACAGTCGAGGTCCCCCCCCCCAAGGCTATGTGTCCTCGGACCAACGGTGGCCCCCGTGGGCCTCCAGGCAAGGTGCAGCCCAGGAAGGCGGGGTCCTGGGGCTCCACCTGGCCTGCAGACATCTCTGGGCAGTCATGGGTGGACAGTTGAGGCATGCCTGAGGAAAGGTCCAGGAGCCCAGAGGCCGGCTCAGGCCTGTGGGCGAGAGGATAGAGCCTCTCACCAGGCCTGAAGCCTCGGCACCAGGAGGCCACCAGAAAATGAGGGAGGATGGAGGCTCTGCCTATCCTGGAGTGTCAGGGTAACCCAAGGTAGCACCATGGTAACACCAGGGTAATCCAGGGTAACACTAGGGAAACACCGGGGTAGGGTAGCACCAGGGCAACACCCAAGTAACACCAAGGTAACACCAAGGCAACACCAGGATAACATCAGGGTAAATCCAGGGTAACATCAGGGTAACGCCAGGGAAATGCCAGGGAAACGCCAGTCAGCTTTCTCCGCGAACTGGATATCACCAGGGCTGCGTACTGGGCCCCGTATTCGAGGGAGGAGAGGGCTGAGCGGGCGCTGTCACTCACGGGCAACGTAGAGGGCCACCTTGTCGTTGTCCTTGTGCCGCAGGAGATTCTCGGCATAGTTGAGGCGGCTGCCTAGGAACCACTCGGGGACGTCTGCGATGCCCTTGGAGGGGTCCACCACCTGGGGGAGGACAGAGCCGCGTGAGCACTCCTGGCCGAGCCCCGCGGCCCTCCAGATCACTGCTGACCCTGGCCCTGACATCCCACACCAGCTGGGTATTGCGCTTCATCGCTCTGGACGTGGAGCTGACTCCCAGCTCTGTGCTCAGGGACCACTCCTGGGGGCACCAGGGGCCCACCCAGGTGCTGGGGGTGGGGCCCTGGCCGGCCGCATGCAAGGAGACCCTCTGGCCTGCACTGTCCAGCCGGCTACTGGGCAGCTGACCCCCAGATGGCTGGGCCTCGGGTGGCTCGGGGGCAGAGGGACCACCCTGTCGGTGAGGCTGCCAGCTCGACCCTGGCAGAGGGGTCAAGTGCCCAGCCAAGGCCTGCCCAGCACTGCGCCCAGCACGCGACACCACCATGGACGTCGGCAGCACCTGGACAGGCCTGCACACTCCACAGTGGCGGGAGAGCACCTGAAGGGGAGCACTGCCTTGCCCTCGATCTTGGCTCTCTCGGCGGCTGACCCCAGGACATGCCGAGTGGGTACCGGGGTTCAATCGCCCCATCCCACATGCTCCTGGAGCCCCACCAGGAGTGACGCCCGAGCACAGAGCCAGAAGTCCATCCTGTACACGGCCAGGCATGGCCCCAAAACAATGACAAGAGAGTCCGGCCAAGTGGACCCCGTAAGAAAATAACTAAGCCCCTGATTTACGTCCCGGATATTTTACCTCACTTTTCCCCGTAAAACAAAACCCAGTGAAGCTCCTCTCTGAGCCCACTCGCTGGCTGAGCCCACAGGGGCCCATGCTCAGGTGCTGAGTGGGGCTAGACCTGGCCCTGTGGTAGGGTTGTTGGTCTTTTTTTGTTTTTTTTTTTTTTTTGCTTTTTGGGTCACACCCAGCGATGCTCAGGGGTTACTCTGGCTCTGCACTCAGGAATTACTCCTAGCAGTGCTTGGGAGACCATATGGGATGCTGGGAATCGAACCCGGGTCAGTCTCTACAAGGCAAACACCCTCCCCACTGTGCTATCGCTCCAGGCCCTGGGCTTTTCCTGTTCGTTTTTTGTTTGTTTTGGGGTCACATCCTGCTGTGCTCAGGGATCACTCCTGACCGCACTCAGGGGACCCTATGGGGCCCCCGGGACCGATCCCGGGCCAGCCTAGTGTAAGGCATGCCCTCCCCACTGGACTGACGGGAAGGGCCGAGCCAGGCTGGGTGGCAGGAGACCCCTGGAGACCCGGCGCCTGGGGGCTCCCTGCTGGAGGGCTACTCCCAGCACTGTTTCTGGGGATGTGGCCTGAGCAAACACAGAGGAAGACACCGCTGGCGACTGCAGGGATGCGGAGGGGCCCCCTCACCTGGTCGTAGGTGCGTGAGTACACGATGCCACTGAACTTCCAGAACTCGGCCCAGAAGTCGGCGTAGGAGGCCACCGACCAGTGGTACAGGTCATTGTAGTTCTCTGCAGAGAGAGGAGGGGGCTGTCACAGCCTGGGCCTGACACGGCCCTGGGAGGGGGCGAGGTCAACACAGCTGAGAAGAAAGGGGGGACATAATCTCACCCAGGCAAACCCCAGAGGGAAGAAAACCAGGGAAGTGGGCCCAGCACATACTCTGGAGCCCTGGAGCCCGGGGCTGTTTAGGCCTGGGGAAGGCGGAAGGGGAGGGGAGGGGAAGGGAGGAGAGGGAGGGGAGGAGGAGAGGGGAGAGAGAGAAGGGAGGGGAGGGGAAAGGAAGGGAGGAAAGGGAGGGGGGGAAAAGGCAGGTGCAGCCTCCAGGGCACACCTGGTGCTGAGCCGCCTGCCTGGCCCTGGGGATGTGACCTGGACTTCAGGTCTGTCCCTTCTCACCAGGACTTCCTGAACTGGCCTGGGGGATGTAGGGAAAGGCCCCAAGGCAGGCACGTGAGGCTCCAGCAGGGGGCAGGGACAGCGCCCACTAGAGCCAGTGTCCGGGACAGCTGGAGAGAGCCCGGCTCTGGCTCACCATGCAGGCCTGTGTGACCGTCCACTCTGCCACGGAGTGGCCCTGGCCCTGGCCAGCTGCCCCTGTGGAACCTCAGCTGCCAGGCAGGAGCACAGGACTCCTGACCCGCGAACCCACCACCCAGGGACCCCTCCCCACACAGGGCAGAGACGGGGCACGGGCCAGGCACAGGTGTGACGCCAAGTCCAAGGCCCAGCACAAGGTGCGCAGAGAGCCGCTGTGTGTCAGCTGGTCTCTCCCCAGCCCCGTGCAGATGGCTCCCAGGGGACACAGGACCAGCGCAGGGACCATTACAGGGACCGGCAGGGACGTCTGAGCACTGGCCACTGTCACTAAGTAGGCCTCGGGGGGAAGCCCGTGGCCTGGGGGACCGGGCGCCGGACAAACATCCACGCTGCACGTCAGCTCCCGCTCTCGGGCTGTGCTGTGCCTGGTTGTTGGGGTCTGGGTGTGGTGCAGGGGTGTCGGGGCGGTCCAGCGAGCTGTCTCCTGCAGTCCCTCCGCTCCCTATTAGCCCCCAGATTCTGGGGGCTGCGGGAGGCGGAGCGGGTGCCACGGGTTCGGGGTCGACAGGTGTGAGCAGCCACCGTGTGAGGGCAGCGTCTGGCCCCTGCTCACACCCGCTCCCCCCGCCCAGAGCCCGGGTCTACCCGCAGAGCTCAGGGGGTCAGAGCGAGCAGGACACCCAGGGGTGTGCCTGGTCAGGGAGCCCCCGCCTGCCTGGCATCTGGTCAGGTGTTATAGAAACGACAGGTAAGACAGGAGCCAGGCCCTAAGGCACATCAGACAACCTGGGCTGAGGGCCAAGAGCACTGCCAAGAGAGTCTGGTCAAACCTCAGATGACGCCAGGGGACCCTCAGAAGGCCTGAATTCAGGGTCCACTGAGGCAGGAACCCCAAACCACATGGCCAACCCTCAAGTCCTCACAGGCACAGCGGTGCTGGCCAGGGGACCCAGGTGAGAGACCACCCAGGTGACTGGCTCGTCCCCGTTCTCCTGCCAACAAGCTCCAGGGATGAGAATTACACAACTGAACACTCCAGCCAACTCACATGACCCCAAATACCTTCATGCCTGCAGCCACACTGTGGGGCCAGGAGCACTGACCCCACAAAGTATGCGTGTGCATGAGTGTGCGTGTCTGTGAGTGCAGGCGCCCGTATGTGTGCGCGCCTGTGCCTGTGTGTACCTGAGTGTATATGTGTCTGTGTGTGTGCTTGTGTGTACACATGAATGTGTGCCTGTGTGGGCACTTGTGTGTGTCTGTATATGCATGTGTGCATGTGTTGTGCCTGCGTGTGCCCGTGTGTGTGCGTGCACCTGTGTATGTACCTGTGTATGTGCCTGTGTGTGCACGTGTGCCTGTGTCCGTGTGTGTGCGTGCAAGAGTGCCTATGTGTGAGCATGTTCCTGTGTGTGCACTGGTGTGTGAGTGTGTGCACACTCCTGTGTGTGCCTGTGAGTGTATGCACACTCCTGTGTGTATACACTTTTGTGTGTACGCGCTCCTGGGTGTGCCTGTGTGTGTGTGCACTCCTGTATATATCTGTGTGCACGCTCCTGTGTGTGCCTATGAGTGTGTGTGCCTGTGTGTGTGTCTGTGTGTGCCTGTTTGTATGTGTCTGTGTGTGTACCTGTGAGTGTATGCATGTGTGTGTGTCGCTGCCCCCTGAGGTAGCCAAATGACAGCTGAGACTTTAAGCCTCTGTTTTCTCAACTGGAAGGTGGAAACAAAAGCAGGATTAGGGATTAGGAGGATCATGTCCAGCTTCCATTCAGTGCCAGGCTGGTATCAGCTGGTGTTGATGTGGGCACCTGCAGCCCCACCCTACTCCCCGGGCCTGCTGGCCATCAGCCTAAGGCTGGGCTGAGCAGAGGCTGGTCAGGCTCCCCCAGCAACGGCCCACTGTCGGGGGGCCAGGGAAGGCAGCTGGTGTGGGAGAATCACGGGGACCACAGACCTCCAGACGCCTGAGGCAGAGGGGCTGCTCCCAGCTGTGGACACCCCGTGTCACGCCACCACCCCCGGCTGCTCGAGGTCCTGGGACACCCCTTTTCCCGCTGTCCTGCCACCACCCCAGGCTATCCACGCTGCTCAAAGCAGCAACAAGAATGCACCCAGGCGGGCTCGGGGACCAAAACGCAGGAAACACCCCCGACAGGGACCACCGGCTGCCAAGGCACACAAGGGCCTCACCCCTCCTGGCCTTCGGGGCCAAGACCAGGCGGGGACTGTCCCGGCCAAGCCGGACAGCCTCGCCCCTGCCCCGTCACCGGGCCTAGAGGTGGGATCGGGGGCGTGGGGGGGAGGGGGCACGCGGCACGGGTGATGCCCCCTTCCGGGGGCCGGGCGGGATCTGCCGACGGGGTCTGCCCGGCGGCGGCGGGCGGGCTCCGGGCGGTGGGGGGAGGGGGCGCGTCCCCCTGGGGCCGGGACCCCCGCCCCGCACTCACCCAGCTCCAGGCCGCAGGCGGCGCGCACGGCCGCCCGGAAGCGGTCCATCTGCGAGTCCTTCTTGCTGTCCGGCTCCCACATCACCTGGCTGCCCGCGATCTCCTCCCGCACGGCCCGCGGCTCCCGGGACATGGCTGCGGCGGCTGCGGCGGCGGCGGCGACGGCGGCAGGAGCGCGCGAGTGAGCTGTGGTCGCCGCCGCCCGCCCGACACCCGCGCGGAGCCCCGCCCCGGCCCGCCCCGGCCCCGCCCCAGGCGCTGGCGCCGCCCCCGGAGGCCCCGCCCCGGTGCCTCGCGACTGTAACCCTCCGCTGGTTCGCGCCTCGCAAAGGAGTGCGGGCCGCCTCCGCCGGCCTTGGACTCGAACCCGCTCCCGGGGCGGGCTGTGCGGGCGCGCGGGGAGAGGGCGCGCAGGAGGCGCGGGTGGGTCGGTGCGGGAGCCCCTGGAGAGCCCGCGGAGCACCCGGCCAGGCTAACTCCGGGCGCTGAGCCCAGCCACGGGCGTGGGCACCGCCGCGCAGGACGGCCCCTTGCCAGGTCGGGCGCGGACGGCCGGGATAGACGTGGGCAGGGCCCTCGCCCTGGGCGCGCCAACGGCTCTGACCCCGAGCGCCGCCAGGAGTGAACCCTGAGCACAGAGCCACGAGTAAATTCTGAGCACTGTTGCATGGAGCCCAAAAAAAAACAAAATGGTGACTATTCACCAGGAGTTTGAAAAAAGTGACCCCTGGGTTGGAGCGATAGTACAGCGGGGAGGGCGTTTGCCTGGCACGCGGCCGACCCGGGTTCGAGCCCCAGCATCCCATATGGTCCCCCAAGCACTGCCAGGGGTAATTCCTGAGTGCAGAACCAGGAGTGACCCCTGTGCATCGCCGGGTGTGACCCAAAAAGAAAAAAAGTAAGAAAGTGACCCCTGGTCAGTAGGGGTGGGGCAGGTCCAGCAGAGGGGACAGTGGGCCAAAGGCCCAGAGGCAGGAGGGCAAGCATGGGACCCAATAAGGAGGCAGGATCTTTGACCTGGGGCCCTGGGCAGAAGGGGCCAGTGCTCCAGGGGCCAGTGCTCCAGGGGTTAGTGCTCTGAGTCAGTTTCCCAGGGGTCAGTGCCCCATTGGTCAGTGACCCAGGGGCCAGTGCTCCAGGGGCCAGTGCCCCAGGGGGTCAGTGCTCCAGGGTCAGTGCCCCAAGGATTAGTGCTCCAAGAGTCAGTTTCCCCAGGGGTCAGTGCCCCATTCGTCAGTGCCCCAAGGGCCAGTGCTCCAGGGGTCAGGTCTCCAATGGCCAATGCCCCAGGGGTCAGTGCTCCAGGGTTAGTGCCCTAGGGGTCAGTGCCCTGGGAATCAGTGCCCCAAGGGTTAGTGCTCCGTGAGTCAGTTTCCCAGGGATCAGTACTCCAGTGATCAGTGCCCCAAGGGTCAGTCCAGTGGTCAGTGCTCCAGAGGTCAGTGTTACAGGCGTCAGTGCTCCAGGGGTCAGTTTCCCATGGGTCAGTTTCCCAGGGATCAGTCTCCAGTGGTCAGTGCTCCAGGGGCCAGTGCTCCAGGGGTCAGTGTTTCAGGGGTCAGTGCCCCAGGGCCCAGTGCCCCAGGACCTGCCGTGCCAAGACACATGGCCTTAAGCTAGGGCCAAGGCCTGAGTGTTTCTGGGCAGCCCAAGGGCAACACTGGGAAGCAGGATGCCCGGCAGAGATGGCTCACGGGGCAGGAGTCTGGTCTAGGGGGCACTGGGATGGACGTGAGGGTCTCCTGGCTGCGCGGGGCTCTCTGGGCCTTCCTATATCTCTTGTGCAATTTGAGCCTGACAGTGACCCAGTCCAACTTCCCTCGGCCGCAGTTTGGACAGTCTGGGAGCTGGACTTGGTGCCCAGTGACTGGCCCAGCCACTACAAAGAAGCAGATGGCGCCTGGAAACAGACACCAGCCAGGCTGTTGGCAGGCCTCCGGTGTCCTGGGGAAGGGACATCCAGACAAGAAAGCGGGGCCAGAGCTCTGGGAATCTCAAGGTTGACTCTGAGCGGGAGTCTGTGTTCAGGGTCCTCTGGTCAACCCGAGTGGGAATCCACTGCACAGTCTTGGGGCCTGAGGCATGGAAGAGCACCAGAAGCTTCTAGAATGGCCCAGGATGCCTGCGGAGAGCAGGAGTGAAGAATGGTTGTGGACAGCAGAGACCAGCCTCCAGGGGTGTGGAAGTGGGAGTGACTGGGGGTCACAGCAGCCTGGAGAACAGAGGCCTCTAGCCCCAACCTGACACCTCTCTGCACGGAGCCTACCCAGTTCCATTCCCAGAACCCCATGGGCCCCCCGGGGCACCAGCAGCGCCAGGTGTCAACCCCTGCAAAGAAACAGAAGTGAAATAAAATAAGAGGTATTTGAGCCTCACCTCTGCTCCCAGAATCTTTTTTTTTTTTTGGCTTTTTGGGTCCCACCCGGCCACCCGGCAAAGCTCAGGGGTTACTCCTGGCTCTGCCCTCAGGAATCACTCCTGCTGGTGCTCGGGGGACTGTATGGGATGCCGGGGATCAAACCCTGGTCGACCACGTGCAAAGCAAACACCCTCCCCGCTGTGCCATCACTTCGGCCCCCCCAAATCTTCTTAACAAGACCAAAAACCTCGTTCTCCCTCTCTCTCAGGTCACATCCAACTGTACAAGGGGCTGCACCCAGCTCAGTGCTCGGGACACCCTCCCGTGCCAGGGGTCAAACCCAAGGTGTCCCACATACAAAGCCTGTGCTCATCCCGTTGGACCAGCTCCCAGCCCAGTTCTCCCCACTTAGGAGGGAAACAGTGGCCGCAGGGGCAGTGACAGGTCCAGTTCCACACTGGCCCCTGAGCACCCCCAGGAGTGACCCCCAAGAACAGAGCTGGAGGCAGCCCCCAAGCACCACCAGGTGGGGCGCAAAGCCCCCCAGACAAAAGGTATGATAGGAGAAGGGCCAAGAGGGCTGAGAGGCTGACAGGCTCAGTGCAGGCGGGGCCCGATGTGGTCCACGCTCAGTGGGGCGGCAGCGCACAGAACCCCTTGGGAGTGGGACCTTCACGCTCACCCTGGGTGGAAATGGCAATAGAACAGAAGTGGAAAGGGCGAGCAGGGCCTTCTTGGTGAGGGCAGCAGAGCTGGTGACTTGGTCATGACTGCCCTTGACTTGGGAGCCAAGCTCACAGGCACTCTCGAGGCTGCTGGAGGAAGGAACTGGCCACGGCCCCCCTCTCACCTCTGCTAGGCCCATGTCAGGAGATTCTGTACCTAAATTAAGCAGTTGCCCCAGGGATGACCTTGCAGAAGGACCTTCTGGGTAGAGGCCCTGGGCAAGTGCAAAGGCCCTGGGGCCTGCTCGGCCCTGCCAGTGGTAATGGGAGGTCGGGTGCAGGCAGGACTCTGGCTCTTCCCCAGAGTGAGAGATGGCAGTATTTGGGAAGTTTTGGATGCGTTAAGAAAGGTGCGTCCTAATTGCTACTGGGGGGTGAGCAGGGAGGCATTTCCCAAAGATTCCCAGGGGCATCCTGGCCAGGGTAGGTGATGGGTGCTGCAGGATCTGGAGATTAATAGTTTGGGCCTTTAGGTGCCTTCAGGGCCCGAAAGATCCCGAAAGAGCAGCCCAGCGAGGGTGCTGCTGCCTGTGCCAGCCGGGCCAGTTTCAGCTGAAAGCTTGTCTGATCCCAGCACGAACCACAAGGGGGAAAAAGGGGCGTGGCCCTGCGCTACAGCCCCCCGAAAGGTGGAGTGGGGGTTCCTGACAGCCGCAGCCCACGCATCCGAGCTCTGGGGCGCTCCGGTGGCTGGGAAGACAGGTGGGGGCCAGTGACCCACGTCAGGGTTCAGCTCATACAAGGAGTCAGCCGAGGGCACGTGACCCAGCCCTGCCCCCTGGGACAGCTGCAGCTGGTCACCCGGCACGCCCCCCCCCCCCCCCAGGGAGGGAAATCTTGCTCTCTGCAGTGCCCAGAGCCCCTGAGCCCCCGCTCCGTGGATCAGGGCACAGGCACAGCTGGGACACAGCCCTTCTCTTCCCCAGAGAGAAAAGTGAGGCAGGTGTGAGAGGCCAAATCATTCTTTTCTCTCTTTCAGTTTTGTTTTGGTGTTTTTGTTTATTTTTATTTTGGGGACACACCTGGCCATGCTCAGAGGTTACTCCTGGCTCTACACTCAGGAACTGCTCCCAGCAGATTGCTATCTCTCCATATGGAATGCCGGGGATTGAAACTGGGTCAGCTGCACAGAAGGCAAACGCGTACTCGGAGGTACTATTGCTCCGGCCCCTGTAGGATAACATTTGTTTGTCCTTTCTGCCTTGCCACAGGGAATTTAGGTTTATTGGGTTGTGCCCATCACAGTGCTCCCATTCTTCTGTGTTTATTTGTAACCTCTTTCTTTGTCCTCTGTTGACTTGTAAATATTATTTTTCTCTTCTCCTTAAGTGCTTTGCATAGTTAATTCAGGGCAATGTCCTTTTTGTATGGACACAGGAAGACAGTTAATGCTATGCTTTCATAACTTGGGAGTTAATTGACTCTGAATGATATTTATCTCCTGGATATCTGTTCTCTTTTTTTTGGGGGGTTGTTTTTTTGTTTGTTTGTTTGTTTGTTTTTGCTTTTTGGGTCAACACCCAGTGATGCTCAGGGGTTACTCCTGGCTCTGCACTCAGGAGTTACTCCTGGCGGTGCTCAGGGGAGCATGTGGGATGCTGGGAATCGAACCCGGGTCAGCCACGTGCAAGGCAAACACCCTACCCTCTGTGCTATCTCTCCAGCCCCTGGACATCTGTTCTCTTGACTTAAGCCTCAGTTGCTCTTACTTCCTAGCACCCCAAAAGCAGGATCCCGACGAGGGACTGGATGGACCCAGGGCAAGCTGTGAGCTATGTGCTACCCTGGCATCGAAATGGATCTGGCCAAAGCGCCATAATAATTAACTATAAGTTAAGAGCATGGTCATGGACATATTCTGTCATGACCCAAAAAGTAATAACTAGATTCATACCCTGCTAGGGTTAGGAAAGATTAATCCAGCCTGAGCACTGTAGTCTGAGTCTGTGGCGAGATGTTCCCAGGAGAGCCACCCTACAAGCTCGATGTATCTCTTACTGTGTCCATACAAAATAAGTAATATTAAGATGTTAATAAAGATATTAAGTTATTGGTTATAGGAAAGAAGAAAAACACCTT